GCGAATGACATCAGGCGGAGCTGGTGGGGGCAGGAAATCTACAAAAAGAGGAAGAACGGAGGGGGAAAGGGGAGAAAGGAAGAGGAGTCGACAGAGAAACGAATAGTAGGAAGGGGGGAGGAGAAGAAGTGGCCCGAGGAGAGAAGGGTCTGAAAGGAAAAGATGGAAGATGGAGGGAGCTGAAAGAGTGAAGGAGCAGCGAGCACGTCAGGATGGAGGGTTAGACGAGAGGAGTGCGAAAGGTCGATGGCTCATAATGTCACTCCTGATACAGCAGAGACAGAAATCAATAAGCTGTCTGTCTCTCTCCAGTAGAACTTGAAGGTCCCACGAAGCTGCTTCACGATGGCGTTTCTCTTCTGAGCCGTCACGTGGAAGTTGGCGGGATGTAACTGAGGCCTGAGCGATAAGCCAAACAGTTTACTCATCTTTTTCGCTTCACTATCACATGGCAGAGAGACCTAAGGATTCACGGGTATATTGCAGGAATCCTGGGGTTACAGATTCATACCCGTTGTTAAGACCTTTTTTAAGACTTTTTTAAGACCTTCCAAAAAAAACCTTAAGACCTCATCGCCACTTCAAGCTGTCAGTCGTTAGCAGCAACACATCTTTAACTTTTTTTAAGATTTCTTTAACCGCATTTATCCCCATGGAAGCTACGCTAATCTTCTTTTTGCAGTAATTGCAAAAGGCTATTCCAGCCAGGAGTCCGCAAACTTACATTTACCCATCTTCTTTCTTTCTCTTTCGTATTTTGCTCCTCTGTTTCACGCCTGAACGTGCGCCGTCGCGTGACGTCGCACAGTTATGCGCACGGCCCCGAGGCTATCTGGCAGTCCGAGGCTGATTTCGGACACAGCCCGAGCCCGACACATCGTTGTTTGTAATAGTCGCAAGGAGGAAAATAAATTATACATCCATGGATACTTTTTGTCAAAGCTTGAATGTGAAGAAAATGTAATACTTCATAAAATCGCGATTAAGACTTTTTAATACTTTTTAAGGGCCTCAATTTTCCGACATTTGATTTATCAACTTTTAATACTTTTTAAGACACCGCGGGATTAAAACGTGTTTGACCACTTGTGAGGCTGTCATTGTGCATATGGGTTATCCCAGAGAGCAGTGGGCTGTCAGAACCACGTGCTTCAATTAAGTAGAGCGCAGGCATCCGACTGGAGCTTCAGGACAGAGTAGAAACTGAACGTCTGCTCTCTAACACATCTGCACATCCAGTTTAGCTCTCCTAACTAAAATAACCTTTTTCTGCTCATTGTAGTTACTTGATTTTTGGAATATAGACATTTTTCACACTGTGCAAAAACAGAACTAGATAGATTTGTTCCTAAAATGTAACCCAATAGATGCCGCGGGGTAAAACAAGCTCCATATGGCTCTCGCTGTGCGTCCACATTAAAGAACCATTCACAACAAGAACAATCACTATAACAATTAGAACACACACCACAACTATACCATATCACTGGGATTGTGAGCTCTTATTAAACGCTTTTAAAACGTTATATTAGGCTGCAAATTACACATAAATATGTCATTTTACCTGAGACACTATCAAACAGCCTTTAGCCGTGTGCACAGTTATTGTTCT